CCATGAAGACGTATGGAAGGAGTGTGCTTAACTAATTAAGCACTGCACCATGAAGACGTATGGAAGGAGTGTGCTTAACTAATTAAGCACTGCACCATGAAGACGTATGGAAGGAGTGTGCTTAACTAATTAAGCACTGCACCATGAAGACGTATGGAAGGAGTGTGCTTAACTAATTAAGCACTGCACCATGAAGACGTATGGAAGGAGTGTGCTTAACTAATTAAGCACTGCACCATGAAGACGTATGGAAGGAGTGTGCTTAACTAATTAAGCACTGCACCATGAAGACGTATGGAAGGAGTGTGCTTAACTAATTAAGCACTGCACCATGAAGACGTATGGAAGGAGTGTGCTTAACTAATTAAGCACTGCACCATGAAGACGTATGGAAGGAGTGTGCTTAACTAATTAAGCACTGCACCATGAAGACGTATGGAAGGAGTGTGCTTAACTAATTAAGCACTGCACCATGAAGACGTATGGAAGGAGTGTGCTTAACTAATTAAGCACTGCACCATGAAGACGTATGGAAGGAGTGTGCTTAACTAATTAAGCACTGCACCATGAAGACGTATGGAAGGAGTGTGCTTAACTAATTAAGCACTGCACCATGAAGACGTATGGAAGGAGTGTGCTTAACTAATTAAGCACTGCACCATGAAGACGTATGGAAGGAGTGTGCTTAACTAATTAAGCACTGCACCATGAAGACGTATGGAAGGAGTGTGCTTAACTAATTAAGCACTGCACCATGAAGACGTATGGAAGGAGTGTGCTTAACTAATTAAGCACTGCACCATGAAGACGTATGGAAGGAGTGTGCTTAACTAATTAAGCACTGCGCCATGAAGACGTATGGAAGGAGTGTATGCCCCAGAATCGGTCTGGACGACGTGGAGAGGAGAAAAATCTCAAGACTGCCGGGACTCAAACACCGTAACCCGTCGGTATTCTGACTCACATCTATGAATGAATGGCAAGAAATGAAGATGTACAGGAGAAGATACCTGCCCCCGTGTCAATTCCCCCCCCCCATCAGAGGGAACACAGACGAAGGACTGAACACAAACTTGACGTTGGAGCATGGTCACAAAGAATGCACAGTACAACCAAATGCGATCTTCATTACATTACAAAACTCTCCGAAGTCACTGGGGCGTGAAATACAGAAAACAAATGACAGGCGTAATTTGGGTCTTTGAAACGAAGTAAACACGTCATCTTGACTGCCACGTCATGATACCTACGTCTTAAAGTTGTTTAAAAAAAGTAAAGCTGTCCCTGTAACAGGCAGCGGAGGCTCATACGGTTGTGAGACGTCGAGGCTCTCACATTTCCTCTAGACAGGCAGCTCACAGATGGCGGTGAGGTTTTCAGCCTTACGCGCCGACCGTCCTTTACCCCCGTGAAGGTTCCTGGTACTCATTTATGTTAGAGGCTGAGTCGACCCCAGGGCCATAGTGCGGCTGGAAGGATTACATCAATTAAAGAAGCCAAAGACCTCATAGGGAATTGAACCCACGACCTTTCGGCTTGTAGCACAGTGCATCAACCAAACATGCTACCTCCAAAACAAGTTAATCCAAAGTTCGGGCTGATATTCGTTAACCGAAAAAAAATCATGCTAAGAATAATTATTTCTTACTGCAAAGCGTTTCACGGGTGAATAGCTCTGGGAAATCGTGTGAATCTCTTCGGGGTCCTCGCCAAATCGTTCTGCATTCATGGGAGGTGGCCCCATGAGTGTAATGTAATGTAATGTATGTAAGGGGTGGGCCATAATAACCGGCCCCCGCACGGCGACCTTCAATGATCTATCCCCATGAGTGTACCTCAAAATACTGGAACCAACGGTGACGAGTGATGGGAACATTATACGTCAGTTTTATTACGTTTACCATCTTAAGAATATTGCTACAGCATCAAAATTCTGTAAATTCTTACCCAAGGTAAAAGAAGAACGCACTGTAGCTTCAACAAGTGGTCCATATCACCCACCTTCACCCTATGCAAATGTATACACTAGAGTCAAACATAGTACATATTGTCTCGAGTTAAGGGTGACTACAGAAGGGGTATGAATTGGCAAATGGGTTTATTGACAACTTATACACATGACTCGAAACTACACGCAATTACAACGCCACGACTGTTAATCTCCACAATTCACACACATAACCACAGCAACCGCTAAGCTTTTTCCAGCCCTCTGTCTTCACCAGCCGTTTCCTGGCAACGGCTTGTAACAGTGGAGATTCTTCAGCTTCACGCGTTCAGGTTCTATGTTCACAGCCTCCCGTGCAGAACTGCCTAAGAACTGACTGTGTCACTCCAATTCTCTTCCTTACAACCCCTTTACACGGACCTAATAGAAAACGCTGTTTCGAACAGTAACTCTACTGTTGCGCGCGTAATCGTTGCAACTGGTACGTGTTTACTGATCCGTTGCCTAGAAACAACCGTTGTTTATTCGCCTATCTCGCAGTGACTTCATAGCAATGGCTGTACACGCTACAGTATTGTGCTACTAATCCCAAATATCACGCGTCTTCAATGGGTGTCTGGAACCGAGGTCACTGCTTTCTTTGTTAGACTTTGCTGTACAAAACACGGACAGTGTCGAGTAACAAGAAACACAAATACAACGCGAACAGCCAATAAAACGCAGTGGGGATTTCTGGCTCAAATAAAAGCCTGTTCTCCATAGGCTGCTGGCCATGTTATCAACGCAAACTGTACAATCCAACACATAAGAAAACGCAGAACAAAGGTGGAACATTTGTCATTATAGAGAAGTGATTAGGACAGACATAGATCGAACGGAGCGTCTCTCATACATGACCCAACTGGATAATGTGATAATTACAACAAATATCAACAGCTCCTGTTACGCTGTAATAAAAATGTAGTGGCAGGACTGAATGAGTAGAATATCTCACAGAATCGTAAACGTGACGTAATAACAATGATAAAACAGGAATAAAAAATGAACTTCCGGTTTCACATTGGTATGACACGGTTTATCTATAACAGAAGGAAACAAATGTGGGTTTACAGATACAAACTGTCGTAGTAAGTGAAAAATAATGTTTAACGACACACAAACATGGAAAGAATTATGAATTTTGTCCGATTACAGTGGCCGTGTGGTGTAGGGAACAAAAAGGTGTTCAGCTCCCGAACTACTGGGTTCAAATCCCACTCGAGGCTGTGATTTATGTCTGTGTTTCTACTATGTGTCTACTGTCCTGTTAGGCTGCCTTCACAGGCGCTGGTCTCTTAAGATTCTTAGTTTCAGAATTAGTTCTGAATGGGAAGAGGTCAGAGGTCCTCATTCCTCAAGGGGGGGAGGGCAAACTACAGCATTTAAAAAAATCATGTAATCTTATCACATAAACATGTATAATTACAGATAACACAAAATGTTACTGTAGACCCCAATGCATCAGAAGTGCGGCTATGCTCTGTATCGTTACACATTATAGCCATAGCTCAAGCGGTTAGTTCCTGGCTTCCCACCGCGGCGGCCCCGGTTTGGTCAAGTGGGATTTGTGGTGGACAAAGTGGCGCTGGGGCAGGTTTTCTCCGAGTACTTCGGTTTCCCCTTCCAATCTTCATTCCACCAATTGCTCCACAATCACCCTCACCTATCATCTGGGGCTGGTACAATAGGCCAGAAGTGGCCGCAGTACAAGGGACTCAGTCCCACCCCACTAGCAATAAAAAAAATGCTCTGTATGCTTTCGTCAGACTCTGCCGGTTCATTTCGAAGGACTGGAATCGACTGAAGGTTCTGGGAAGTCCACCGACGGAATCCAAGGATCCAATACTTGTTCTTTGTCTTTAGGCCAAACGTGGGCCAGGCCGCGTTCCACCTGGCAATCACCCACATGCATTAAACTAAAATAAACCTCTCAGAATAGGTTTCATTAATTGATCCTACGTATGCCGACAAAGTATCCCACATTTTATCAGAAAATAACTTGGGTCATAGGATATTTCAACGTGCATTACAAATAATCTCAGTCTTGTCATATCTGGAGTGAAAATCTTGATTCACTGTCATTAAAAGCACAGTAGCCGCATATTTTATTTATATTTATTTTGTATTTATATAATCCCTGTCACAGGCTGTGAGACGTTGAGGTCCCCACATTTTCTAGACAATCAGCTCACAGATGGCGGTGAGGTTGTCAGTCTTACGCGCCAAGCTATCCCTGTAATAGGCCGTGGAGGCCCATAGGGTTGTGAGATGTCGAGGCTCCCACATTTTCTAGACAATCGGCTTAAAGATGGCGGTAAGGTTGTCAAAAACGTAAAACATGCGATATTCGAATCTGGGGGAAAAAAAAACATTTATTTCTCGACATATCCTCCAACAACACTGATACACCTATCCTATTGCTACAGCAATGCGTCGAAACCCGCTGCACAGAAGTCTTTGGACGACTGTCCCAGCCATTTCCTTATTTCCGTTTCAATGTTTTCGTCTGCCACGTTTCATAACCCAGCTAACCCACCATAAACAGGAAAAAACTTATTTTTTAATATTTGTTGCGCTGAGTCCTTTTGCCAACAAAAAACGTGTAACAGAACTCTGCTCTTCGGTAGTGTACACCTCAAGCAAGATCGCCATTTTTACTACTAAAATCGGCCTCTGAATATGCGCATGTGCGTTTGCTCCATAGACTGTCATGAATATGGACTCTGCTGCTACCTAGTGATACACACAGAAAACCTATTACGTCAACTACAGCTGTTTACTTCCATTTGTGACCTATTTACTGACTCTCCTTCATATGACGTGGGTGCGGAGCAGTCGGTGGAATGAGAATTGGCAGGGGAAACTGAAGTACTCGAAGAAAACGTGCCCCCGTGTCACTCTGCCAACCACGAATCCCACAAGATCTGACGTGAACTCGAACCCGGACAACTGGCGAATGCCCTCCTGAGCTCTGGCAGGTGCACAGGTTTTATTACAGGTCTGAAAGACTTACCTTGCTCAGCTTCTCGCCTTCGTGATGCGGTAACAGCGTCCTGAGCGACTGGAAGCCCGCGTTTATACTTTGCATACGGCGTCGCTCGTTGGAATTGGCTATCTCCCGCCTGATTCGCTTCTCCTGCTCCATGTGACTGCTCGGGGACGCCGCCCGGTCGCTCAACCTGCAACACCATGCACACTATTACGGACACCCTCCGAACACTACGTGACGCAGACGACCATGAATTACGACCTTGATGTATCAAGCACCAAGCCAGCCGCACAGTGTTACAGCGCCAATGACTACACAAGAACCTTACGCTAATCGCGGTGCAATGTTCCAGCCGCTGGTAAACACCAAGGCCGTACGGGAAATTGGGATGTCATTACAGCCCTGTCACCAGTAAATGTGAATATCCTGGTGCGGAAGTGGCTGATATCCTCCTTAAGGTATAACGGTAAAGCTATCCCTGTAACAGGCCGTGTAAGCCCATGGGGTTGTGAGATGTTGAGGCTCCCACATTTTCTAGACAATCGGCTCACAGATGGCGGTGAGGTCAGCCTTACGCGCCGGCCGCCCTTTAGCCCCCAGGATGATTCCTGGTGCTCATTTCTGCTAGGGGCTGATTCGATCCTAGGGCCATAGTGAGGCTGGAAGGTTCAAGTAAACTGAAAAATTCTAGTTCTCCTTGTATTTTTCCCCCCTTGGCACTACAGCCCCAGTGGGCCTAGGCCTACCTTACACAGACGGCAGGACTCCTTGGGCGAGTAATCAGCTCGTCGCAAGGGCTCTACCTATAGACAAACACAGAAAAACGCACACAAACATCCATACCCTGAGTGGGATTCGAACCCACGATCCCGGCTTCCGAGCGAGCGAAGACAGTGCATGCCTTAGACCGCTCGGCTACCGTGACCGGCGTTCTCCTTGTATACATACACTAAAAGTCGCAAATAAGCATTGCAGCTGGCAAAATAAGATATCAATTGGAAACCCGCGGTCTTTCTTTCAATGCAAGATTCATTAAATACTGGGAGAAATATAGCCTACTTTTTACCGCGGAAACAAGCAAGGATCCTTGGCATAACGTTTTGTATTGCTTTATATCTTTCAGATAAAGGCAAAGTCGTCCATGTGCTTAAGCATTAAGACACGAAACGGGCGCGAGACAGGATTTATTACTCCACATATTAACATATGTAAGAGAAAGGCTCAGCGGTTGGCTTCATTCTCCGGCCGCTTTACCCTTCAACAGCTTCCAATACCCGCTGAATAGGAATTTGGGTGCGCTCCAAGAAGCTCGAATCCCGGTCGTTCAAGATTCCAGTCATTACTTTACCGATCGAACTATTCCAGAATATCTTTATAAGTATGCTTCATTTCATTATAAATTCCGTAAACTGATTAGTAGTCTCCATATATATATCCAGACATGGGAGCACTTGTAAGGAAGGCACGTGCACCTTGAGGATGCTCGGGACGAGACGAAAATGCGGGATACGTGAACAATCTTCAGCGTCAGACCGTCCATATTACCTCACTCGAATGGAATGTAACGCTTCCTTCCTCTCCAGTTTCTCGCATGTGCACGTATGGCAACATTAAAGCATCTCACACGGCGTTCCATGAATGGCACAACCTTCACACCTGCATATCTTGAGCGTATTGTGCCCGAAGTAAGGTGTGTATGGGCGTGTACACGCACGCCGCGGAGGAGGGGAGAATATGACGTGCGTAGTAATGTGGTCGCTAGATGGCCGTCCGCACGTCTGGAGGGGAAGAGGCCATTTGAGAGACCAAGGCATAAATGGCAAATATTAAAACGGATCTCAAAGAAATGTGGTCTGAGGACGTGGTAAAAAAAAGGCAAAAAAAGTTATCCCTGTACTTGATTAAGCACCATTCCAGCAATATGTATATGGTCGCGGAGGTATAGCTCCACCATTCTTAAACTCGTCATTAGACAGAGGCAAGTGGTCAACTTCACGACCCTGCCGCTTTAGCCCCGGAACCAACAGCCAGTGTGGACACCGTGGAGATCTCGTCTCTGCCGCGAATCGAACGCCGATATACTGGATTCAACTGGCACAGGATACGTCCGCTGGTATTATTTTTCTTAATGCTAGTGGGGTAGGACTAAGTCCCTTGTACTGCGGCCACTTCTGGCCTATTGTACCAGCCCCAGATGATAGGTGAGGGTGATTGTGGAGCAATTGGTGGAATGAAGATTGGCAGGGGAAACCGAAGTACTTGGAGAAAACTTGCCCCAGCGGCACTTTGTCCACCACAAATCCCACTTGACCAGAACCGGGATCGAACCCGGGCCGCCGCGGTGGGAAGCCAGCGACTAACCGCTTGAGCTATGGCGCGGCCCAATGCTCTAGTAAATACAGCAATAAAACCTGGCTTACAAACGGAGAAGAAGGGTTAGCTTCGCAAGAAGCACCTTGTTTCATAGAATTTCTGGCATCGTTCTCGGATATCAGGAGTTCGCTAAATTCCATTTTTTTCCTTCTCTAAATTGGTAGTACACAAAGAGTAGGCCAAACTTTTCTGATTCGGTGCACAAGCCCCATCCCCCAAAATGAGCACTGCAATGACGCGAGGCGAAGGAAAGAAAACAATGAAAAACGCCAGCATACGTACCGTGGGCCGGATTCGATCCCGCGACTGTAGTTTTCGTCCTAAACACGATACATCGATCCATGCAAAAGAGAGGCAAAGCTGTCCCCGTAATTAAGCATTATGCCCAGAAGACATATGGGGGGGGGAGCTAGTTTCACTATTCTTGACCTCGGCACTCCATGAAAATGGTCAGCTTCACGCCCCTGCCGCTTTACCCACAGGGAAGGAGAACCAGAACATATCAGATAAGAGGCTGGGTGGGTCCAAGGGCCGGTCTGGATGCTGCGGAAAAGAGAAAAATCTTGGCCTGCCAGGGAATCGAACCTTGGCCGTCAGCCCGTAACTATACCGACTCCTGGATTCATATACCGCTTCCGAATATGAAAAATCTACTGGGAAATGAAGTGTATACGAACTTGGGGATGATGCAACCGCTTGAAACATCGTCTGCGCTCGTATCAAAACGGGAACGGGGAAAAAGAAAATAAAAACAAGCCGAGGCAGGAGTCCGCATGCCCTCTCTCCAACCCCCTTTCAATCGGGGTGCGGCATCTGCATCAGCTGACGACTCGATTAGAAAGGATGAGTCACACACACAGTCAGCTGGGTGACATTTCACGCACACCAACACAGCTGATCGGCTCGCTTGCTCATACTGACGTAACATTGCGCAACGAAGTTGATGATCCAGTATGCGAGGCACACAAGCACCGAAACCATGTCGTGCCAATCAACACAGCAGTAACTCCTTAACTGGCCATAAGATACTGTCTTCTTCGTGGGGACATTGAGGCACTATGCTACAAACCGGAAGGTTTGTCCACCTACCTACGCCTTGGTCTTCCCAGTGGTCTCCTTCCTTATGGCCTTCCCACCAATATCTTATATGCATTCCTTGTCTCCCCCATTCGTGTTACATGGCCTGCCAACCTCCTTGACTTGATCATTCAGTTCGAAATGTTACAGACATGAATTTAATATTAACACAAGACCAAGTTTCAAATCCATCTAACATCAGAGGCAAAATTATACTATTGTATATTGTAATTTGTTGCTGCCCTTCCCAAACATCTGAGCCGTGCCACATTTTCAAAGGCTCTAGTTAGCTGCCCTTTTAATACTATATTGTGGCACCCTGTTGCACATCACTTATACAACAAACGTCACGGGTCCAGCATCGCACACATAACACGTCCGTCTCAAACTCATTTCAAAGTTTCTGCACATTGCACTACACGACCGACACCCTTCTTCATCACCAGGTGTTTAAAACTGCTGTGCTTCCATTTTGTGGTCCTAATATTCAGTGAGTAGTCCATTTACGTGCTCGTGTGGTGCTGGGTGTCTTCTCCTGTGTTGTGTCTAAACTACGAGTCTGTCTTTGTTATTGATACTGGATACTGCTGAAAAATATAGTATGTTCAGTTAAGGAGGAAGCTTCGCAACACCGCTGACCCGGCCCAACATTCCTCACAGATTGCTACTGTAACTGCCGATAGCAGAATGAGTCATTTGCGCTGATAAACGCGCGCTGTTACAGTTACAGCAGCAATCTGTGAGGAATATTGAGCTCGGTCAACGGTGTTCCGAGTTTCCTACCTGATTGAACATCCTTTATTAGGATGGGCATATGTGCCATCTTATGGGATGTAACTCAGTGCAGTTCGACAGAAGTACATATGTCTTGGACGTAACGTCACATAGATCACCTAAGAACTAAAGGACTATGACGGAGAGGTCTCAAAGAGCACTGTGTTCATGCCGGGGGCAACAAAACTGCTAAATCATTGTCTGTATTATTGACGCTCACATCTAGAATCAGGGAACAGACACGGAGCCCCTAACACGGTGATTAAAAAGGCAGATGTTGACAGTAAATGATATATAATTCTCAGAAGAAAGTTAAGGTCTAAAGGGCGTCACGGAGGAACCGGCGGAAGCATATCTTGTGTCGTGACTTTCATACTTGGACAGAAATCACGCTACGCACAGGTAACCAGCTAGTATCATCAACATGAGTGATTACCACTTCAAAGCTTTCTCACTAAATGCCAGTTCGCTTCGCAGAATTAAATACGGATTAGCTAGAAATGTCTCTTTAACATTTACAGTTTGATGCACTAGAATTTTAAGCAACCGTTCAAAAGGCAGAGGCTATTGATCTTGTTTTAAATGTAGTCCAGAGTAAACAAAGAAGGACTACACGCACACACACACGCCCAGAGCAAAGCATACTCAAAAGCAGACACGTTGCCTCCTGAGGGACAAACTCGCGATATATATAACGTGATGGATTTGAGCGCTACTGTGAACATGTGCAGAACAAAAAGCGAAAGTGAGTGGTCGCTGAACATAAAGCTTAACACTTCATACTATGCAGATCCAAGAGAATTTCTTCTCGGAAATTGTTATTGATTGCTTGTAATTTTACTCAGTTCCTCCAGAAAAAGAAGTATGTATTACCTTTAAACAGGCCACGGTGGGAGACACGCGGTAGAGTAGTTGGTTGAAGCTCTATGTTACAAATCCTACAGTCGCGGTTTCGAATCCCGATCA